ATATATACAAATAATATAATCTACTATTTAAGGCGGGGGGGGGGGGGAAGTTATACATGTAAAACACTGACCAGTAATTATTACAGGTATTTATGTACCACCATCAATTTACGCAGCACTTTACATATATATTGTACATTCACATCAGTCCCTAACCCTCAAGGAGTGTACAATCTAAAGTCCCTAACTCATACATATACTAGGGCCAATTAACCTACCAGAATGTCTTTGGAATGTGGGAGGAAACCGGAGTACCCAGAGGAAACCCACACAGGCACAGGAGAACATACAAGCTCCAGGCAGGTGGCGCTGTGGTTGGTATTTGAACCAACGACCCTAGTGCTGCCGGGTGGGAGTGCTAACTACTTTGCCACTGTGCAATAATGCAGATCCTTTTTTTCCCTTCTAATGTACTGATATTTATGTACCTCTGTGTACAGGCCTTTAAAAAACAATGGGTTGCATTCAGATCAGTAAAAAAAAAATCCTTAATGACTGAAAACACGCCATTTTTGGAGCCCGCATGTAAGAGCCCTAAAAAGTGGAACTTTAGCAACTGCTGAAATTCTACTTCCCATGGAGGACTCATCACAGCTTCCATAGTTACACTTCCTACTGACCTTCATCCTGATCTCCCCTTAACCATTTCAATACCGGACAGTTTTATCCCCTTCCTGCCCAGGCCATTTTTCACGTTTCAGCGCTCTCACACTTTGAGTGACAATTGCGCGGTCATACAACATTGTACCCAAACTAAAATTTTATCATTTTCTTTACACAACTAGAGCTTTCCTTTGGTGGTATTTAATCACCACTGGGTTTTTTTTATTTTTTGCTAAATTAACAAAAAAAGACCAAAAATTTTGAAAAAAAAACCAAATTTTTCTTTGTTTCTGTTATAAAAGTTTACAAATAAATAATTGTTCTTCATAAATTTAGGCCGAGATGTGTTCTACTACATGTCTTTGGTGAAAATAACCCAAATTAGTATTTATTATTTAGTTTTGTAGGAAAGTTATAGAGTTCACAAACTATGGTATAGATCTGAATATTGATCAATCCTGAAGTACTGACGGCCAATCTAATTTCTTGAGGTCCAAGAATGTCAGAATAGTACAGATATCCCCCAAATGACCCCTTTTTGTAAAGTAGACAGTCCAACGTACTTCATAAGAGGCATGGCGAGTTTTTTGAAGTTGTATTTTTTTGTCATAATTTTTCGGAAAATGAAAAAATTAAAAAAATTATTTTCACTTTTTTTTTTTTTACATACTGTGACCAGTGCAGTACAGCGTCATCATATAACTGGCATGGCGGTGATCAGGGACACTGACTGGTGACACTATGAAAAAAAAAATATATATATATATTTTTTTTTATTTTTTTTATTTTTTTATTATTTTTAATTTTTTATTACATTTTTTTTTTATTTTTTTAAGATTTCTTTTTCATATTTTACTATGACCAAAGTAGTACAATGTTACCATAGTAACATTGTACTACTTTGGGGAAGTGATCAGTATTTTTTTTTTTTTACACAATTTGCTTATAGCAAAGAATTACTTTGCTATAAGCAAGCATTTACCTGAATGACATCAATTCATTCAGGGTTTTTTTTTTTTTGTGCTTAGCTGTGATTTGGCCACAGCTAATCACATGACATGTGCATGTGATTAGCTGTGACCATTCACAGCTAGGCAGTAGTATACAATGGATGGCATGAATGAAGCCATCCATTGTACACAACTGTCATGTGACCTGCTGTGATTGGTCACAGCAGGTCACATGGTACCGGCAACGGGGTCCGAGGTACACGGCCGGTGACAGATCACGCCGCTGCTCATCTCTGCAAGCGCGTGAACTGCGCTTGTGCGGGAGAACGCCATATGGCGGCCTCCCGGAAAGGTAATGCACTTTTGCGGACGCCATTTGGCCATAGGCCGGGCATCAAATGGTTAATAACAATGGTAGCATTAGCTGTGTAAAGTCACGTTAAAAACGCAAGTTTTTCATCATTTTTGCATTAGCGTCTAGCCACGTTTTTTTTTACACACACAAAAAAAAAAATAAAATCTGCTCAAAAATGCCAGTTTGCCACGTTTTTTAGCGTTAGAGAATTTTTACAGCTAAAAATCTCCTCTAGAAACCCACTAGTTCTTGGTGTTTTTTTCCAGCCAAAAACTGCTGATCAAAAATGCCAAAAGCCAAAAACAACCGCTGTAAAAATGTCCAGTGTGAATGAGGACTAACAGTGAATTTGGTTTTCATTCTGAAAAGTCCATTCATTCCAAAATCAAATGTTAAAATCAACGACATTTGTCTGGTCATTAAATGTACAAAGAATTTTCAGATGAATGCTCATTTGAAAAATGTACAAGTGTATAGCCTCTATAACCTGCAAAAGAAGAGTGCTGCTCCTTGGAGAACAGCGATCTGCAATCCACAAGCCGTTGTAGTGATCTATTCAGCATAGTACACCAAGCTCGTCCTCTATGATACTGGATCCATTCTTTGCAGGCTCAAGGTGGTTTTAGGATATTTAGATCATTCTAAGGTTTATCCCTTTTGATAAGTACTGTATCTCATAATATGGGTGAAGGAAGGAAGGAAGTGGAGTTGAGGGCAGCATACAGATTGGTTGGAATATCACAGTGGAAGGGACATGAAAGTTGTGTTGATGCGACCTGCCTGGCTTCAGAACCTATCCCTTTGGCACATCTCCGCAAGTGAGGGAAATTTGCAAACACCACAGTTTTGGAACTTCCATAGCAGCTCACCCTTGCACATTCATGGAGAAACCCACACATGCTCAGATGTGCGGAAAACCCATGTGTGCTCAAATGTGCCGCAGGGCTCTGCCAGGACCCAAAGCCTTGTGGCACATCAGTGCACATGCAAAAACCCTCACTGTCCTCTGTACAATAAAATATTCCATACTAATCACAAATCCACACTAAAACAAAAGAAATAGTAATCCTGAACAATTAACCCAATCCACATCTGCTACTTTCAAATGATTGAATACATGGGATAATGTAGCGATTATATATAAACCTAAAACGCCATAGCTCCCAACTGTCACTGATTTGGAGGGACTGTCCCTCTTGAGAGCAAATCCTCTGTTCTATGTGCAGCCTCCGTTTTCTCTCTTTTTGTTTTGATGTTTATATCTCACACAAATTGTAGTATTTTACCACCAAAGGTGTTATGCTGCAGGAAACTTTTAATTTATCTTATATATCAGGGGTCGCCAAACTTTCTAAGCAAAGGGCCAGTTTACTGTCCTTCAGATTTTAGGGGAGCTGCACAGTGGCCACTGAGGGCAGGAAATGCCCCAGAGGGAGTAGACAACATCTCAGACTTGTTTGTCAGTGGGGGGTAAAAAAAAATATTACATAGTGCATGTGGTCAGTAGGAAGAGGAACAGTGCCCCATCACTGGTGTCGGTGGGGGAATAGAGACCCATTGTTAGTGTCAGTAGGAGGAATCGTGCCCATCATTGGTGTCAATGGGAGGAGGAGTGCTCCATCGTTGCTGTCAGTGGGAGGAAGAGTGCCCCATGCTTGGTGTCAGTGGGAGGAAGAGTGCCCCATGCTTGGAGTCAGTGGGAGGAAGAGTGCCCCATGCTTGGTGTCAGTGGGAGGAAGAGTGCCCCATGCTTGGTGTCAGTGGGAGGAAGAGTGCCCCATGCTTGGTGTCAGTGGGAGGAAGAGTGCCCCATGCTTGGTGTCAGTGGGAGGAAGAGTGCCCCATGCTTGGTGTCAGTGGGAGGAAGAGTTCCTCATCACTGATGTTTGTGGGAGGAAGAGTGCCCCATGATTGTGTCACTGGCAAGAAAAGAATACAGCCCCATCATTGGTGTTAGTGGGAGGAAGACTGCCCCAGTGTTGATATCAGTGGGAGGAAGAGTGTCCCATTGTTGGTGTCAGTGTTAAGAATAGTGCCAATTGTTGGTGACAGTGGGAGAAATAGTGCCTTATATAAATGGGAGGAATAATGCCCCAAGGACTGAATAAAGGCAAGAAAATGGACATATCCGGCCCACGGACCACAGTTTGAAGACCACTGCTCTAAATTACTGCATTTGTGTGGTCACCGTGGCAACTGGAAATTGCATTCTGGCACCTTGGTTCACACACCGCCTCCCATTGACTTCAATGCAAAATCGCATCCTATTGGCACGTATTGATGCATACATATCCTTATTTTAAATGGGTTAAAGGTAGAATAGAATTCGGGATTGTGTAGTGGAGTTGAAAAGTGGACAGGAAAAAAAGGAGAGGCCGAGTTTGGACACATCGAGAATTTGTTACCACTGGTTCTTATTAATAGAGAAGCCACTCAACATTCGAAGTTAGAGCATTATCTGGGAGGGGGTGGTTAGCTCTTGTCTATACAGTAAGTATGGTGAGTATCGGTTGGTGGATGGCCCATTGGTCGGGTGAGGGTTCCTGGTTTTTGACAAGATGTCAATACATGCAGAGGACGTTTTATAAGTTTGTCCACATACCCAGATTCTTTTGAATTTGGAGGAGCTGACGTAACATATGTGAGAATTTTTCAATAAATCAAAAGCTGGTCATAGAGGATTTGATTTTCTTTCCTGCAACCACAGGTTGCAGGAAAGAAAATTCCTCAATTTCACATCAACACAGTCAGTGTTGATGGAAGAATCCTTCCAACAGAGCTGTTGTGTTCTCCTGGCAGGTACGACTCCCCGCTTGGACAACACAGTGACACAGTAGCCACTGCCAATGTTTGCATGAAAAAACTGACATGCTGGATGTAAGTCATACAAAAGTTAATTTGGGTACATTCAGCTTGCCCATAGAGGGTTCTAATCTCTGCTGGTTCCTGGTGAGCCAGCCAAAATTTGAACCATATATGGTTCTCTTTTTTGGAACCAACCCTTGATAGATGAACTGGTTGGGAGAGTTATTTGGTGCCAAGGTAACAACCGAAGGACCCACTAACCAGACTTTGCTTATAATGTTCTCTGTACTTTAGAGATCACGTCTTTGACATTCCCAAAATGGAACATGACATGGGAAAACACTGTGACAGGCGAAGATGAAGAAGATACAACTACCGGTAATCAGATATTCAGAGAAGCCATATTCCTTAAGACTGGAATTGCACATTTCAAAATAGTTGCAATATCACCTTTCTCTCTTCACAGCTACTGGATTCTTTGGAGGAGAAACATTACCATCTGGTGACAACACCATCCAGCAGAATGAGACCACAGGTAATTGGTTTTACATCAAGACCTTACTCCCCCTACAAAAGAAAAGGAAAACTCAAACATCTGTTGTCCATGGTGACCACAGCAGATATTAGTATTATAGGTACTTATATAGAGCCATCAATTTACACAGCGCTTTACATATATATTGTACATTCCAATCAGTCCCTAATGCTCAAGGAGTGTACAACCTAAAGTCCCTAACTCACATTCATACATACACATACTAGGGCCACTGTAGACAGGATCCAATTAACCAACCAGCATGTCTTTGGAGTGTGGGTGGAAACTGGATTATCCAAGGAAACCCACACAGGCACTGGGAGAACATGCAAACTCCAGGCAGGCAGTGCCATGGTTGGGATTCAAACCAACAACCCTAATACTGCCAGGTGAAAGTGCTTACCATTTAGCCATTGTGCTGCCCTAGATATCCTCTGTCTTGTTGTGTTTTGCAGACCACGGTTGCAGAGGTATCTGAATAGTTATGTGTTCCTGCCAAATACTCATGTTTTTGCACTTTTGCAATAAAGACCTCTTCTTCCATTGTCTTTAAAGGCAGATTTTAATTTGGGTTCGTTTTTCAAGCTGGAAAATCTGAGCGCTGAAAAATCTGTTTTTGCACTTTTCTTGCATTCCCCATTCCACACGATAATTTGATATTGGTTATAAATTGTTGAGCAGCTGACATTTGTCATTTTTGCATTGCTCAGTGCACAAAATAGTAGGTCTTCAGCCAGGGGCGGACTGACCATTTGGAAACTCGGGCACTGCCCGAGGGCCCGGGGTCAGCAGGGGGCCCCATGAGATGCCCCTGGTACCTTTTTCATAGGCTTTTTTGAGTTTGGGCAAGGACACAGGGGCCCCATGATCCCCTATTGCCCGGGGGCCCCATGAGTTGTCAGTCCGCCCCTGTCTTCAGCTAACTGGTGCTGCTGTACTGTATCCTAGGATCCTTTTTCATTTATGTGGATATTGCGCATTAACATGCGTTTAATTTAACACACTAAAAAATCAGATGTGCCACAAAATTGCAACACAATGCACCGCAACTCATGGTGTACTGTATATACAAGTAGTTTATTGTCATGCGCTGCAACCCATATTGGCTTCTTTTGTGCTTTGGAGCACTGAGAGGCAAATAATATATGTGGCTGTGCATTACTGCAACCTGTAGATGGAATTAGCTGTGTGGGTTGGAGTAACACCCCATAAGCTTGTGAATGGCCCATTGTTGGTACTCCCATGGCTTAGAGCAGGATTACGTTTGCAAAGGAACTATAATAGAGGGATGTTTTTGCAATGGAGACTTTCTTGTTATAATGTTTTTAAGGCAGCCCATACATTGTTAGGCTGCTTTCACACTGACCTGTGTTCTTCAGTTAAAAAAGTGGAAGAAAAATGCATCCCCTTTAATCCTATGGTGCTCTTCACCCTGATCAGTTGTGCTTCAGTTGCAGTGAAAAGAATCCTGCTTGCTGCATTTTTTGGTGCTAAATCACCAGAAAAAAAAACACATCCGTCAATTGAAATGAATGGAAACTGCATTAAAAACACAAAGCACCTGTGGGACGTGCTTAGTCCAGTGGGGACAAAAACACAATGCAAACACATTAAAAATGCAATGCACCGCAGTAAAAATGCAGCAAAACACATGCGTTTTTTCAAAAGAGCAGTGTGAAAGTAGCAATACAGGGGTTTTTTTTTTTTTTTTTTGAAAAAGCAGGTTGATCAAAAAAAAATCTGACCCAATTTACTCCTGCTGAGCTATTGTATTCTGACAGCAGGGAGACTTCCCTGATGATCAGCAGTGCCGGCTGCAGCTATCTATAGCCAGCAGCACTGATCAAGTGGCAAACAGATCGACTTCTGCACAAGCAGGGTGTCTATACATGGATCATAAATAGGCTGGTTCAGCATGATGTATGGCCAGCTAAAATAAGGTCCCTTTAGCCACCAAGAAAAAAGAGCTCCCAGGAGTTTGCTGGATATAAGCACTTGCAGTGAACTGCCTTTCCAGTGTTTATCTTTGATGCTGAATATAATTCAATAAGCTGCATTCTACTTATTCTTTAACTGAGTCCACATTATCTAATCTGTTTTTCTAGAGACTGTGACCTACAGCGCCTTCACAGACACAAACACTACCCAGTACATTCAATTGGATAACGTGACTGAAATGAGCCAAAGCAGAACTGCAGGTAAGAGGCCACAAATGGACAGATCCTGATCCAAACAAAATCTACCACTTCTGCTTTTGTGCTTTGACCTGTCTGCATTCACCAGTCAAACTCTATGTATAGAAATAATCAAGAAACCAGTAACCTGGGGCCCAGAGGTAAAGGTGGAGATAAAGGAGTCACTGGAAACAGAAGTGCACAGGAGTCAATGGAGACACAGGGGAGTGCAGAAGTTACTGGAGACATAGGGGAGCGCAGGCATCAGTGGAGACACAGGGAAACACAGGAGTCACTGGAGACACGGGAGCACAGGAGTCACTGGAGACACAGGGGAGCACAGGAGTCACTGGAGACACAGGGGAGCACAGGAGTCACTGGAGACACAGGGGAGCACAGGAGTCACTGGAGACACAGGGGAGCACAAGGAGTCACTGGAGACACAGGGGAGCATAGGAGTCACTGGAGACACAGGGGAGCACAAGAGTCACTGGAGACACAGGGGAGCACAGGAGTCACTGGAGACACAGGGGAGCACTGGAGACACAGGAGAGCACAGGAGTCACTGGAGACACAGTGGGAGCACAGGAGTCACTGGAGACACAGGGGAGCACAGGAGTCACTGAGACACAGGGGAGCACAGGAGTCACTGGAGACACAGGGAAGCACAGGAGTCACTGGAGAGCACAGGAGTCACTGGAGACACAGGAGTCACTGGAGAGCACAGGAGTCACTGGAGAGCACAGGAGTCACTGGAGACACAGGAGTCACTGAAGACACACGGAGCACAGGAGTCACTGGAGACACAGGGAGCACAGGAGTCACTGGAGACACAGGAGAGCAAAGGAGTCACTGAAGACACATGGGAGCACAGGAGTCACTGGAGACACAGGAGAGCAAAGGAGTCACTGAAGACACAGGGGAGTACAGGAGTCACTGGAGACACGGGGGAGTACAGGAGTCACTGGAGACACAGGGGAGTACAGGAGTCACTGGAGACACGGGGGAGTACAGGAGTCACTGGAGACACGGGGGAGTACAGGAGTCACTGGAGACACGGGGGAGTACAGGAGTCACTGGAGACACGGGGGAGTACAGGAGTCACTGGAGACACGGGGGAGTACAGGAGTCACTGGAGACACGGGGGAGTACAGGAGTCACTGGAGACACGGGGGAGTACAGGAGTCACTGGAGACACGGGGGAGTACAGGAGTCACTGGATACACGGGGGAGCACAGGAGTCACTGGGGACACGGGGAAGCACAGGAGTCACTAGGGACATGGGGAAGCACAGGAGTCACTGGAGACACATGGGACACAGGAGTCACTGAAGACACACGGAACACAGGAGTCACTGGAGACACAGGGAGCACAGGAGTCACTGGAGACACAGGAGAGCAAAGGAGTCACTGAAGACACATGGGAACACAGGAGTCACTGGAAACACAGGGGAGCACAGGAGTCACTAAAGACACACAGGAGCACAGGAGTCACTGGAGACACAGGGGAACACAGGAGTCACTGGAGACACAGGAGAGCAAAGGAGTCACTGAAGACACATGGGAGCACAGGAGTCACTGGAAACACAGGAAACACAGGGGAGCACAGGAGTCACTAAAGACACACAGGGAGCACAGGAGTCACTGGAGACACAGGGGAACACAGGAGTCACTGGAGACACAGGAGAGCGGGGAGCACAGGAGTCACTGGAGACACAGGGAAGCACAGTATTCACTTGAGACTCGGGGAGCACAGGAGTCACTTGAGACACAGGGGAGCACAGGAGTCACTGGAGACACAGGGGAGCACAGGAGTCACTTGAGACACGGGGGAGCACAGGAGTCACTGGAGACACGGGGGAGCACAGGAGTCACTGGAGACACGGGGGAGCACAGGAGTCACTGGGGACACGGGGGAGCACAGGAGTCACTGGGGACACGGGGAAGCACAGGAGTCACTGGAGACACGGGGGAGCACAGGAGTCACTGGAGACACGGGGGAGCACAGGAGTCACTTGAGACACGGGGGAGCACAGGAGTCACTTGAGACACGGGGGAGCACAGGAGTCACTTGAGACACGGGGGAGCACAGGAGTCACTTGAGACACGGGGGAGCACAGGAGTCACTGGAGACACGGGGGAGCACAGGAGTCACTGGAGACACAGGAAGCACAGGAGTCACTTGAGACACAGGGAAGCACAGGAGTCACTTGAGACACAGGGAAGCACAGGGTCACTTGAGACACAGGGAAGCACAGGAGTCACTTGAGACACACGGGAGTACAGGAGTCACTTGAGACACACGGGAGTACAGGAGTCACTTGAGACACAGGGGAGCACAGGAGTCACTTGAGACATAAGAGAGCACAGGGGTTACTGGACACATGAATGCACAGGGGTCACTGGAAGCAAAAGAGACAAAAGGGTTGCTGGAGAACAGCGGTATGTAGAGGTCACAGGGGTTGCTAGAGACACAGCGGTCACTGGAGACACAGGAGCACACAGGCATTACTGGAGGCAGGTCAGGAGAACTAACACAGGGGTTCAGCTTAGGAGTAGCGACTCAAAGCCAAGCAACATGTCGACTGGCTTTTTTATTGAACATCAATCAGGAGAGCAGCCTCCTGACTGGCCATGATACTGGCCCTCTGGGTTTAAACCTAGAAGTGCTGGTGGCCATGCACTGGACAGAAGTCTTGATGCTGGATCCCTAGAAATTTGAGTGTAACATTCAAAGCACAAGTGTGAAATACATGTTAAAAGGCGTCCATTGTAATTATGGTCACGCCAGGCCAGTCTAATCTAAATATACATGCCTTTGATGAATCAGGAAAAGAAAAAAATCACATTCTGCAAATCTATTCCACGCTTATAAATCCTCATCAATAAAAGTTTTAGCTTCCATGGACTAGGGCACAAGGACCAATAAAACACTACAACCATAAGAAAATCTCCAGGTTTGTTTTTAGTACACCTTTCAATGTTTGCCTTCAGCCGGGTGTGATAAAGGACAAAATAATACTATAAAGGACAAATACAAAAATCTCCTATTTGCAAGGAAAAGATATTTAATTATCTTGTTTTTTTATTACGATTTTTTTAACCATTCCTAATTAGACTTTTTGTATTATTTTTTTCAAATGTTTTGTTCATAGCATTGAACTGAAAAAAAAAAAAAATACACAAAATATAGAAACCTTTATGTCGTATGTAAATAAGTTGACCGTGCTTTATGCCAGAAGTAGAATTCTAGTGTCATTATAAAAAGGGACAATATGGTTTGTTGAAATCATTATCATGGTGGGTAAATTAATCCAATTCAAATTCATACATAGTCTATACTGCACACCTGCTTGATTGAAATGAATGGGTCTCTGTCATCAAGCTCTTTGCCCATGTTGCCACAGTGATGCAGCTGATCAATTTCATATATTTTATTCTTGTTCACCAATACAAGGCTATTGAACACATGCACACATTTTACAGAAGAAACAGGGTTTTGTGGACTCTGAGACACCTGAAGTATTTCTTCCAGGTGTTATTTACCCCTTCAACCACAATTACACCAATGAGCTATGTTCAGGATTGATGTGTTTTTAGGCAATCAAACCTGTGCTGTCTCACTGAAAAAAATCTACACCCTCCCAAACTACCATAGAGTTTGTATAGCTGGATGACTAAGCTCTCTCCAAGTTCAAACTTATGTATGAAGCAAGAACATTTCCAACTAAATTGACCAAAATTGGTGGTCCTTGGCTTCACCTGACCAACACTATGGCACTATAACCAGCTTGACTTGACCATCATTGAGGCCCTATAGCTGGCTTGATATGACAAACAATAAGGTTCTACAGCCAACTTGACCTGACGAACCCCTAAGGAACGATAGCCAGCTTGATGTAATGTACATTAAGAAACTATAGCCATCTTGACCTGACCACCATTGAGGCATTGTAGCTGGCTTGATCTGACCAATATTGAAGCACTGTAGCCAGCTTGACCTAATCAACATTGAAGCACTATTCCTGGCTTGCCTCGTTTACCACTGAAAAACTATAGTCAGCTTGACCTGACCAGCATTGAGGTAAAATAGCCATCTTAAGCTAGCCACTACTGAGGCAATCTAGAAACCTTGACCTGACCACCATTAAGGCTATATAGCTTGCTAGACCTGACCACTATTGAGACTTTATATGTAGCTTAACCTGGCCACCATTGAGACATTATAGCCAGCTTGACTTGACCAACATTGAAGCACTATAGACAGCTTGACTTGACCAACATTAAGGCATTATAGCCAGTCTGACCTGACCAACATTTAGGAACTATAGCTGGCTTGACCTGGCCAACATTAAGGTAATATAGGAGGCTTTACCTGGCTACTATTGAGGAACTCTAGCCAGCTTTATCCAACTGCCATGGAGGCTTTATAGCTGGTTTGACCTGACCATCATTGAGGAACTACAGACATTTTGTCCTGACCATGTCGGAAGCACTATAGTTGGCTCAACCTGACCACCATTGAGGCACTGTAGCCAGCCTGACCTGACCACTATGGAGGCACTATAGACAACTTGACCTGACCACCATTGAGGCACTGTAGCCAGCCTGACCTGACCATTATGGAGGCACTATAGACAACTTGACCTGACCACCATTGAGGCACTTTAGATGGCTTGACCTGACCATCAAAGCCACTATTGTTGGCTTGACCTGACCAACACTGAAGCTACTATTGCCGGCTTGAGCTGATCAACATTGAGGCACTATAGCCAATTTACAATAATTAAGATGGTATTTAATCTGTATTATGTACTGCAACAACCTTTAGTAACAATATTGTTTGGGAAGGGAAAGGGGAGAGATATTACATGTATATGTGTAGTATGAATAAATGTACTGTATGTCTTGTCATTCAACAATACTTAGGTTGTCTATTGTTATTTATTTGAATGAACAATTCAAAACCAAACACAATTACCTAAAAAATGGACAAACCATAGAATAAAATTTGCAGAAGGAGACTTGAGGAAGTTTTAAGCCATCCTAAATGGATACAACAATTTGGTTATGTAAATGAAAACCTGGCTCTGTTTCATCTTGGTCATTACGACCATCACACTAGTTTAACCACGTCTAGGGAGCCATACTTGCTTTAGATAAACTATATCTACTTTACACTACCCCTGTTTGGTTTTCATGGACTAAAAGGTGGTTGACAAGGAGAGGGTAGTAGACCCTTCCTGATTTATTCAAGGACAAGGCTGCAATATTTTGTAATAACTGCCTTTTTTGTTCTGTAGGATTTGAAGCCTTTAAAGGAAAGTCAAATAGCACTGTAATCCTGATTCTGGTGTCGCTGATGATCTGCGTGTTGCTGGTCACTGTACATCTCTTTGTCATGAAGCTGAAAAAGGCTCATGAAGCCTGGAAGAAAGGTTGGTGGTTATAAATGCTCAATAAAACTTTTGTGTTTGTACAGCAGGAAAATGGAAGGGAGGTGTGAATCCAGTGGTGCAGCAGCAGCGGCTCTAGGTTGGAAAGAGGTGTCTATCTTCTCTGTAGAGACACTGGTCCATCTTCTATGGACACCCATGACTGACCACTGCAGACCTCCTGGTATGGGAGGGAAAAAAACAACTGATACAAGTAATCAACAGCGCATCCTGCTGCTCTGACCTTGAATTGCCATCTTGTATATACTGCAGAAGTTATAGGCTCCTCCATCCATATTGGTTTCCATTGGGAGTACATACAGTAAATATGGTGCCTTAACCCTTTAATGAACAGAGGTTAAAGACAGTCAAACACATACAGCAAAAGGGTAATGGGGTGGACATATAGGACTTTAAAAAGCAGAAATATTGCTTGTACCTTGGCCATAACACAGCTGCATATACACTGCTAAAAAAATAAATAAAGGAAAACTTTGAAAACACATCAGATCTCAATGAGGAAAAACATCATGCTGGATATTTATACTAATATGAACTGGGTAATGTGTTAGAAACGTAAGGATGCCCCATCATTTGATGGAAATGAAAATGATTGACCTGCAGAGGACTTAATTCAAAGACACCCCGAAAATCAAAGTGAAAAAATGATGCAATAGACTAGTCCATTTTGCTGAAATTTCATTGCAGAAACTCAAAATGGTCCTCAGTTGTTTGTTTGGCCCCCACGTGTTTGTATACATGCCTGACAATATCGGGGCATGCTCCTAATGATAAAACGGAGTGTGTCCTGGGGTATTTCTTCCCAAATCTGGACCAAGGCATCACTGAGCTCCTGGATTGTGTGAGGTGGAACCTGGCGGTGTCGGATGGACTGAAACATGACATCCCAGAGGTGTTCTATTGGATTTAGGTCAAGCGAGCGTAGGTGCCATTCAGTGGTATCAATTCCTTCATCCTCCAGGAACTGCCTGTATACTCTCCCCACATGAGGCCGGGCATTGTCGTGCACCAGAAGGACCCAGGACCCACTGCACCAGCGTAGGATCTGACAATGGGTCCAAGGATTTCATCCCCATACCTAATGACAGTCAGGGTACCATTGTCTAGCCTCGTAGAGGTCTGTGCGTCCCTCCATGGATATGCCTCCCCAGACCATCCCTGACCCACCACCAAAATGGGCATGCAGAATGATGTTACAGGCAGGACAACATTTTCCACAGCTTCTCCAGACCCTTTCACGTCTGTCACATGTGGTCAGGTTGAACCTGCTCTCATCTGTGAAAACCACAGGGCACCAATGCCCTGCCAATTCTGGTGTTCAATGGCAAATGCCAATCGAGCTCTATGGTGCCAGGCTGTGAGGAGTCAGACCCTCAGGCCACCCTCATGAAGTATGTTTCTGATTGTTTAGTCAGAGACATTCACACCAGTGGCCTGCTGGAGGTCATTTTGTAGGGCTCTGGCAGGGCTCATCCTGTTCCTTCTTACAGAAAGGAGCAGATACCGGTCCTGCTGATGGGTTAAGGACCTTTTACATCCCTGTCCAGCTCTCCTAGAGTAACTGCCTGTCTCCTGGAATCTCCTCCATGCTCTTGAGACTGTGCTGGGAGACACAGCAAACCTTCTGGCAATGGCACATATTGATGTGCCATCCTGGAGGAGCTGGACTGCCTGTGCAACCTTTGTAGGGTCCAGGTATTGCGTCATGCTACCATAAATGACACTGACCCTAGCCGAATGCAAAACTAGTGAAAAACAATCAGAAAAGATGAGTAGGGAAAAATGTCAGTGGCCTCCACCGGTAAAGCCGTTCCTGTTTTGGGGGTCATCTCATTGTTGTCCATCTAGTGCACCTGTTGTTAATTTCATTAACACCAAAGCAGCTGAAACTGATTAACTTCCCCCTCTGCTACTTAACTGACCAGATCAATAACCCAGGACTTTAATTGACTTAATGCTATACTGTGATTATAAAGTGTTCCTTTAATTTTTTTGAGCAGTGTATAAAGCACAATGATGTGCTTTACTATGCACTTAGCGCTTTTCTTGCATTGGGACGTCGAAGCAAGTGAAGTTCCATTCATTTCCGTAAATGAGGAAAAAAAAAGTGACTGGAGGAGAAGTCATACAACCGGCCTTACCTATCATGCTATGCTTTCTGCAGAGAACACTCACTAGGACATTGCAGGCTCCACATTGCTGTCAGAATTTTAGGAGTGAATGGTGAAATTTATCACAGCATGGCGCTAAAACTTCAGCGTCCAGTTCTATGTTTTAAATGAGCCCCATAATCTGTGAGGGTGCCAAAACCAGAAGTGTGCAGAAGCCAGAAAAGGTGTTCATTGGTTGCATTAAAGGTCCATTGACACCACAATATAATGCGGTTCAATGGATGTGTTTTTGTGTGTACGTTTCTCTTTATTCGGTGCTTTCAGTTTGATTTAAGTGCTGCCTATGTATCAGACAAACGGCAATTGTGGAGGCTTAGAATGTTTCCTTCTCTCATGTTGTCCATCAATAAAGAAATATACATTGTATACTAACACAACATGTTCTATACAAATTAATACCAGTCACATTGTTTCTCTTCACCTTTTTACTAGCGCCCCCAATCCATTAATCACCCTCACTAATTGTCTTACGCTATTTATATTAACATACTTGTTGCCCATTAGAAACAACTTAAATGAAGTCCCCTTTTTTAACTGCCCTTCAAGCATCATTCATTTTACAGCCCTCCGCTTTTTACGAATAACCCATTAACGGAAGGACAGCAACTGTTGAGGGGGCGAGTGGCGTCCTGAGTAATGTACGACTTCAACGTAGTGCTTGCTTGGCCTAATGGGACTCTAATTAATTAATGCAGGGGGGCCTGTTTACATTTCCACCTTTTGAAAAGGACAAAACTCAGATTTAATCCACAAACTGACACAATCGACAAATTATCTGGGTCTGATCTGACAATGCATGCGGGGGGGGGGGGCTTCTTCTTGGCTGCAGCTGGTGCCAGCTCTGGGTTTTGTCACCGGCCGTCTGCACACCTGCTGCTTGGATCCTTTAGAGCGCACAACAAAGGGATGTTCCAAGGTGTTCCTGGCTTGCAGGAATTGTCAGTGGACTTTGTACACCGCTCTTGTCCTACTCTTTGGCCTCTTCGTCTGGGATGAGGCACAATGAGCTCTTCCCTCTTCTCCAGATGAGGAGCGCCCTAGAACTTTCCATGGCCGCAAAGTCTCATGGGCTTTGTTGTTTTTTGTTTTTTTTTAGAGAATGAAAATTCGGATCAGACTTTGGAGAGCAACAAATCCAGATCGAATAATGAAGACGCTCCAGGTCAAGCAAGGAATGGTCAAGGTGAGCAAAGAAAAGGATAAAAAACCTTTTGGAACATACGTAAAATTGGTCAGGTCTAAAAGTGTAGAAAGATTGCTCCAGTGCTTTTTTCAGCCAGCCCCACCCACACCTTATAGTGGCCACACATGGAATGACTTTATAAACAACCATATTGCCCCTTTTCACATAGACGTCAGTCTGGTAAAGGAACATCTTGCACGTGTACAGAAAGCGACCCAGACATCTCCTGAATTTGTGGGGTTTTTTCCCCCTCAAACCCAAGGGGACTTTTGTATTGAAACACAGCACCGCAACTATGAGCTAGGCTTCCGGCTTGCAGTTGCGGTGTGGTCCCATAGATCTCATTGGGGAGTTTGACAGATGGTGCCCCCAGGGACAAGGCAGTACAGCCATCCCTCCTGTACCGGTCCTCACCGGTTCAAAAAGGGCGGCAGGCTGTATTGCCTTGTGGTTCCTGTGGATTGTGCTGCCAGCTTTCTCTCTCCAGCCTCACTGCAGGGGGATCAGTTATAGTATTCCACCTGATGTCCAGTTGCCCCCTGTGTGTGTGTTCCCCCTCCTCCACAGCGCTGCCGGCTTCCCTCCTTTCAGTCCCGCTGGCAGTTGCTGCAATCACACAAGGGGTATTGTTTCAGGAATAGAGACTGGGTGGGGGGAGGTATGTCCAATTTACTGTCCCCTTACTTTCCTGAATGAACATAGTGAGTGATTGGTACTGATCTTTCCTGTATCCATTCATTACTTAAGCATAGTAAATTGTGTTTACTATGCTTCAGTTTGTGAATGAACAGGAATTTTTCATATCATTTTCTATTCATTCATCTGTGCAGCTGAGGCTTTAAAGAAAGGGACCAATTAATCTATGTCCTCAGTCCCATTTACTGTATCAATTCTGTTTAGATCCCTTAAAAAATATCATGCTCCACAACCTATTCATTTGAATAGTATAAGGCTCCATGCACATTGGGCATTTCACTAACGCTGGTAACATTAGCTGTGTAAAGTCACATTAAAAACATGAGTTTTTCAGCGTTTTAGTATTACCGTTTTGCTGCGTTTTTTTTTGCATTTGCGTGTTTTTAGAGGTTTTTTTTAACCCAAAAAATATTTTTTTTTGGTAAAAAAAGTCCAAAAATGGTGGTTTGCCGCGATTTACCGTGTTTTACCTCATTTTGCTGCGTTTTTCAGCATTAGAGCATTTTTACCGCTAAAAAACTCCTCTAGAAACCCACTAGTCCTGGGTTTTCTTTCCAAAAAATGTTGATTACGGTCTATGTGTGCACGGACACATAGGATAACATACTGAGGAGTTTACTGGCTGTAGAAAAAAATGTCAAAAGCTAAAAAACAGCCGCTGTAAAAATGTCCCGTGTGCATGAGGACTTAAAGAGGCTAAGACTCAGGTCTGTGTTTTTTTCACTGTGTGCCCTGTCTGGGTGATTTCCCCTCACTTCCTGCCCCAGAGCCACAGAAAGAGTTAAAAGAAGATCTCTGCAATGTTAGGAGTGAACTGTCACCAAATTCAACCACCGTGTTTGTCTTTCTACAGCAGCCACCAATCAAAATGGATCTGGAATTAAGTACAACAACCAGGTTTCTGTGTGACCGCGAAGAAATCACCAACAAGGCCCGCCAATGTGCAACCATGCCCTCAGTGTAAAGATGTTGTTTGTTTGGTTTTTACTATTTAGATAATATTTTTATATGTGAATAAATATTATGTATGATCTGTAAATAATACTTTTATACCTTTTTTTTATTTTAAACTAAAGCCAATAAATTATTTTATTAGAATGATTGTATTGATTACTGGAAAGTATCGAAAGCTTCTGACATTTTATAGATTGCTATCATATTATGGGAAATGTTCTCTGGCAAACAGGGGCAAGCAGCAAAGAACAAGGCACACCAACACATTTTGCCAAAACATTTAGTTGAAATGGATTGGAGTCAGTGGAGAAGGTGAAATTAATTGTGGCAAAAAAAAAAAAATCAGATATTGAAAACACCAATACAACCAAAACACCTTCCATCAAAAATTAGCTGAACTGATGTATGAATGTTTAATATTTGAAATTAAAGAGATACAATGCAACTGTATCCCAGAAAAAACACTACCAATTAGTATCACTTTTGACACCTTTGATAAATATACAATAATATTTTATTTATATATGTACAGTATATGTCTATATACAGTACTGTGCAAAAGTCTTAGGCAGGTGTAAATAAAATACTGTAAATTAAGAATGCTTTCAGAAATAAAAGTGTTAAAAGTGTTAATAGTTTATCTTTATTAATTACGAAAATGGAAAGTAAATGAACAGAAGAGAAATCCAAACCAAATCAATATTTGGTGTGATCATTCTTTGCCTTTAAGCATCAGTTTTCTAGGTACCCTTGCACACAGTTTTTGAAGGGACTTGGCAGGTAGGTTGTTTCAAACATCTTGGAGAACTAACCACAAATCTTCTGTGGATGTAGGCTGCCTCAAATCCTTCTGGCTCTTCATGTAATCCCAGACAAACGTCATGATGTTAAGATCAGGGTTCTGTGGGGGCCAAACCATCACTTCCAGGACACCTTGTTCTTCTACGCTGAAGAAAGTTCCTGATGCCTTTGGCATGTTTGGGGTTGTCCTGCTGCAGAATAAATTTGGGGCCAGTGACACGGCTCCCTGATGGTATGGCATGATGGATACGTATCTGCCTGTATTTCTTAGCATTAAGGACACCGTTGATCCTGACCAAATTTCCAACTCCATTTGCACATATGCAGCCCCAGACTTCACAGTTGCCTGCAGACACTCATTACTGTATCATTCTCCAGCCCTTCACGAACAAACTGCCTCCTGCTAGAGCCAAATATTTCACATTTTGACTCATCAGTCAAGAGCATCTGCTACCATTTTTCTGCACCACAGTTCCTATATTTTCACGCATAGTTGAGTCACTTAGTCTGGGTTCCATGTCCTATTCACGAAAACAGGAACTGGGGTGCAGAAAAAATAAAAGCCAGCAAAGGGCTGCAGTTTGGAGACCATACATCTAAAGCAGGGGTCTCCAAACTTTCTAAAAAAAGGGCCAGTTTACTGTCCTTCAAACGTTAGGGGGGGCCAGACTGTGGCCATCGGGAGTAGAAAACCAGCATCAGTTGAAGTAAACAATGCCCCATCATTGGTGTCATTGTTAGGAATTGTTCTTCATTATTGGTAGGAATTGTCTCCCAGCATTGGTGTCATTGGGCACCATTGTTGGTGTCATTGGGAGGAATTGTACCCCATTACTGGTGTCATTGGAAAGAATTGTGCCCCGTCTCTGGTGTTAATGGGCCCCATTGTTTGTGTCATTGGGAGAAACTGTGCCCCATCATTGTTGTAAAATTGGAGGAATTGAGAGAGACTGGAGGGTTTATATCCACTTTAAAGCAGAACTTAACTCACCTAAACAATTTTTTACTTTGCCCCTCCCCTTCCCTCTAACACTTTTTTATTGTTTTGGGGTTTTTATTGCGCTGCAAGGCATCAATTTCTGCTTTTCAGCCTAGGCCAGTACCTTCTGCCTCCTGGGGTTGCTACATCACAGCTATCCTAGAAGACAGTGCGTTACTAAGCTGCAAGTTTGTGGAACATGTGCGCACATGTGGCAGATTTCCATGCAAGCGCACAAATGCTGCGAGGCACTATAATACCCGTCCCCCAGAAGCTGAAACCATCATGTGTGCGCAGATGTGTTCTCAAATGCCTGGAAAAGACTGATGGCACATTTGCACAAGTACCAAAAAAAAAAAAAACAGGCATGTGTGTGGGAAAGGGGTGTGTGTTTGGTGTGGTTAAAGCGGAAAAATATTGCTATTGGCGGCTAGAGATGTCAATCACCGGGTCCCGGCCAGCGATTCCTGGCCAACACTCAGTGATCGTCAGGGAAAGCTGACAGGGGAGAGACCTGTGTGTAAACAATGCAGGTCTCTCTGCTGTCAGCATGGACATGCTGCTGTGTATCTCTCTGCACAGCAGAGAAATACACAGCAGCATGTTTCCCTAGTAAAACACAGCACACAGTTAACCCTTTGATCACCCCAGATGTTAGCCCCTTCCTGCCCAGTGTCATTAGTACAATGTCTGTGCTTTTTATTAACACTGATCGCTGTATTAGTTTCACTGGGGTGTCAGTGGCAGTTAGTCAGTTCCCACAGTGTCAGAATACCCGCCACAGTCCCGCAATCCCACTATAAGTCGTTGATTGCTGCCATCACTAGTATAAAAAAAAAAAATCTAGTATATATACCAACATTTGTAAAAGCTATAACTTTACACGTATTGGGATTTTGTTTTAGCAAAGACATGTAGCAGCATACATTTTGACCTAAATTTATGAAGAAATTAGATTTTTTAAATGTTTTTTATTGGATGTGTTTTATAGCAAAAAGTAAAAAAATATCGTTTTCTTTTTTTTTTGTTTACAGCACAAAAAATTAGAAACGCAAAGGTGTTCAAATACCACCAAAAGAAAGCTAAATTTGTGGGAAAGAAGGATGTAAATTTCATTTATGTAAAGCATTGCATGACCGCGCAATTGTCAGTTAAAGTAGCGCAGCGCCGTATCGCAAAAAATGGCCTGGTCAGGAAGGGGGGTAAATCCTCTGGAGGGGAAGTGGATAATTCTTAAATAAAGTTCCATTTTAAAGTATAACTAAAGGCAAAACTTTCTTTAGTTTTGGATAGCGTGGAGGTGGATTAGAACCCCTGTTGACCTTTATTGCAGTCTGTGTCCCCATTAGGGAGATTCACCCTCTCTCTCTATTTGTACTTTTTACCAGCACAGTGGCTAAATGGTTAGCACTTCCACCTGGCAGTACTAGGGTCATTGATTTGAATCCCAGCCACGGAACCTTCTGCCTGGAATTTGGATGTTCTCCCTGTGCCTGCGTTGGTTTCCTCCAGGTATTCTGGTTTCCTTCCACACTCCAAAGACATGCTGGTAGGTTAATTGGATCCTGTCTAAATTGGCCCTTGTATATGAATGTGAGTTAGGGACCTTAGATTGTATGCCCCTTGAGGGTTAGGGACTGATGTGAATGTACAATATATATGTAAAAGAACTGCGTAAATTGACAGCACTGTATAAGTACCTGAAATAAATAAATTATCATTAAAGGAAAATCCCACATTTTGGGTTGTCCCCAGAAAAATAATACAGAGTAAATCTTCCAATGGGGACACTAGTTCTGGTGACATGACAAGGGATTCCTTTAATTTGCAGGGATTTCCTCTCACTTCCTGTTTTGGCTATGGGACAGGAAGTGAAAGTAAATCTTCCCAATGGGACACAGATGTCAAAGAAAAAAGTTTGACAAGGGTTATAACCCTCCCTTTCTCTATAGAAAATAGAAAATAAAAGTTTTAACTATGGTTCTACTTTAAGTTCAGCTTTAATACATGCTGGGTGGGGAGAATAAACACTTAGAAGAGCCTCTGTCAGGTTTCCATATTTGTGTCCCCAATTTAGAGCATTTACTCCTCACTTCCTTTCCCAGTCAAGTTGTCACCAGGACAGGAAGTGAGATGAAATCTGCCCAATGGGGACATAGATATAAAACCTAGTAGAGGTTATCATCCTTTCACACTTTATCCAAAGCCAAATTAAAAAAAGCAAAAAACGCAGATTGAAATAGAGAATTCCTTTATCATACAGATTGTCAGTGAAGACAGATATTTTGTAGCATTAAGGCTGTGCTTGGATCTTAGCAGTATGCATGGTCTGTCTGTATGTGAGTGGCCCCGGGGTGTAGCTGTGGTGAGCCCTGCCACACAGAGGCCTTCTCCAGTGGGGAAGCCTTTTGTTGTGGTTGTTTGTTGTAGTCCTGTCACCACGGCAACACTACAGCTCAGACAGGATCAGTTCCCCAGCAGCAGGCCGGCTGCATCAGACGACAACTCCACATCTCTCCAGGTAGGACAAGAGTTATCGATCCATATTCCTGAATGATATCAAATATAGATGATGTCGCTCCATGTCTGCCTACACACTGCAGGCTGGTTAGAATGTTCTGGATTTTGCATTCTTCCTAAATGAAGACATTTACATTAAGGGCCCATTCACAATAGACTGCGCAGTAAAATGCACGCAGGCCAGCGTAGTGTGGGCTTCGGCAGGGAGCGGTGTGATGTGCGTTTCAGGGCATCGCAATGCTTGTCTTGGTTTTGTTTTTCTCTTTCTTGGCTTTCAACTCTAATTGAATTGTGACATCTCACTACATGGCGCATTACGCTGCTGTGCGATGACATGCGGTGTGACATCCCAGGTACAGTGCCTTGAAAAAGTATTCATACCCCTTGAAATTTTTCACATTTTGTCATGTTGCAACCAAAAACGTAAAATGTATTTTATTGGGATTTTATGTGATAAAACTTTCTAAGCAAAGGGCCAGTCTACTGTCCTTCAGACGTTAGGGGGGCCGAACTGTGGCCAGTGGAAGTATAAAATGCCACAACTTCAGTGGAAGTAAACAATTCCTCAAACTTGGTGGTCAGTAGGAACATGTGGTTAGTAGGAGGAGGGATAATGCCCCATCATTGGTATTATTATTATTATTATTGGTATTGG